TCTGTTGCGCACCCCTATCGGAAGGTTGATATTAAATGGAGCTGACAATTTTGACTCTGTGATTGGTTAGCAGAGTGTTCTTATGATTTTAGGCTCCGGCCTAGCCTCCACATGAACCGACGGTCTTTTGGGGAGATCTTTGAGGAGATTGGCCGGCCACCGTGGTGCCTCGGGCTGACCATCACCCGGGGAAACGGCCTCCCGATCGCAGACGGTCGCCAATTCGGTATTCAATAAAAGACAACGACGGATTGGCTGCCGCCCGCCGCTGCCTGCATGACGCCCGGTACTAGCGGCCAGCAGCCACTACCGTCCGCGAAGGTGGCAGCTAGGACACTCGCCGTCGATAATCATTGGATGCGATTGAGTAAGAACTTAGCTTCACAAATCCATCAAGGGGAGCGCCAATTGGTGACCTTTGATTGTCAACAAGATAGGCGGATCAAATTTTTTTGCATACCTTTGACAGAGATCTGATACTAGTGAGTCAAGGAATGGGCGCACCGCTACTTGAACGTTTTGCTCGGCTTCATCAGCGCCCACATGTTTGCTTTCGCTTGCTGTCTCTGTGATTGAAATTTATGAACGGAGAGGGTAAGCAAGGTCGATTGAATTGGATAATTACGTTATACAAGGCATGAGATCGCCTAGCTAAATCCTATATTGTTGGAAGTTTTGATGGCAGCTGCTGACGAGTTCAATAAGTGCATGGTGCATGCCAAGAGTGAGATCATTTCTGATGCAATGTGTCACGGTACTCATATGTGGTGGCCACACTTCAGCAATAGAGTTAACTTGATGCTATATTGTGAGTCACGCATGAATTGGGATCATGCTACCATGCATTCGAATACAGCTAGGGCTCAATAGCTGTTGCATGCATGGACAATTGCACATAAGCCGTGATCTATGCAGTAACCTTTCAAGCTTGCAATACCTCGCATGAAAAGATATCGCCTGCAACAACCCTGCCTCCGACAAGAGTTTGACCGTCTACAAGGATTTGAGATTTGACAGTCCCAGATATTGCAGCAAGCGGCAACGCTCAGACACCTACTGTTCTAAAGGCCAAAGCTAGAGGTACGATGGAGTCAAGCACGTCATGCAAATGGGGTCCTCCAATATTAGTTCCTACACGCTACTAGACCGCAACTCAATTGCAACCTATCGCAAGCTTGAGGAAAGGCAGCCCTGATAGATACGCAAACCCTTCGTGTTCACAGACTCAATCACACAAACCCTTTGCATGGGCCGAGTGAGTCTTGTCCTGCTTTCTACCTATGCACGCGATGTTTGTGTCAATTACGCTTAGTAGGGTTGGAAGTTTGAAAGAGGACCATAGGCCCGACCATTTCTAGCCCACTTCATCTTAAGGTCGCTTTGTGTTCAACCCGGGTCGAGACTCCTTTACATACCCCCGGGCACTTGAGAGTGAGTTGACATCTACTAGGGCGCTCTTGGGCCAACTCGAAAGGACTTTGCATGTAGCCCATGACCCCGAGCGCCCTCTCATCACTCGCAAGATTTGCTTGTACTTGTTCGGACACGCGCGAAGCCAGAGTCGTCCCAACCCGTGACCCTAACAACTGCAAACCCTATCGCCACGCTAGGAGCCTATCTTGCATTCCTTTTTGCTCATCCCAACCCGCGTGCAAAAACCCTCGTCAACAACAACAAACAACTCCACAACCCTACTTCCACGCAAGCACTTTATCTATCCGCGCGGCGTCACTCTTATCTTCGGCGGCAACGTCATCCGGCCCCACCCCAGCAAGCATACTCGACAGAGAGCTCCCCCGCGAATTGTGCCCACCGCTGTCGTTGTGCCCACCACTGTCGAGGCTGTAACGGCCGGTGTAGCCCAGAGAGCTTCCACTTGAGACCCGGCTGTGCCCCGGTTTCTTGTCGCCGAGCGTAGTCGTGGGCGTTTCTGATGCGTGCTGTGCGCCACGAAAACGACGTCGTCAGGGCGTTGAGCTGACGGAAGTGGTGCGACAATTCAACGGCGAGACCATTTGGTGCGCGATGGCACGGCAAGAACTTCAGAGCTAGGTCAACCGTGTGTGACGAGGCAACACTTTCCGAAGCTGTTCGGAGGCGAAGCAGCTTACTGGTCAGTTGACGAGCAACGGGTCTTGGGAATGCGATTAAGTAAAAGTTGCTTCTATCGAAGAGCCGCTCCTCGAAAATATGAAGACCTTTCTGCAAGTAAGATTCTTGCCAGTTTCCGAAACCCTCGTGCCGACAAACCGAAGACAACAGGAGAAAGCCCGCTTCTTCCGCCCTCCGGTGAACGATAACCGGGCAAGGCAATCACTCCCCACCTGGAGAACAAAGTTGATGGCCCGCTCGACGTCGGCCATCGCGGGCCGGGCCGTGGGGTAGGGGTCGATGCACGCCTGTGCCAGCTCCACCGTCCAAAAGAAGGGGATGGACGGCCAGGATCCCTGCGGACGTCCGAGGAGTGTAGTGAGTGCAGAGATGTCCGAAATATGAGGCTGGGAACCGTCTTTTGACTTTTGAGAAATGAGGCGCGACTTGCAAGTCTTTGAACAGTTTCACCTGACGGGGATTCCACTGGCGTGCGTTCGCCGGCTGCGCTGTGCATAGAACCTCGAAACCCTCGGTTAACCTCCAAACACCGCAAATCATGAAAGCCTCACGTCTGCATGCAAGCCGACCCCAAAAGATGATTGATACCCTGAAGCCCTCACCTCTAGTTGCGGGTCGATGATCCCCTCGACGTTTTTGAGGTCGCTCTGCATGCGCTCCCCTGCCCACTGCGCGAGCGCCACGCCGTCACGTGACACCGCGGGCCGGCCCGTCATCAACTCCAACAGCACCACCCCGAAACTGTACACGTCAGCCTTCTCCGTGACGCCGCCTTGGCCGTACCTGCCGCCAAAGAATCACGATTCAGGGAGGTTTCAGCAGCTCTTTCCGAGCTTGAGAGTGCCACGTTCGTTGCACGGAGGAGCAATCCACTGGTCCGATACCAAACCGTTAGGGTAGAGAAGAAAAGTTAAAGTAAAGAGACAATAGAAAGTAGAATAAGACAAGAACTCCTGACAACAGACCCCTAACGACGAATGGCAAACAAGTCGGCCTAAATGAAGCATAAACACGGAAGCAATGTATCGATAAGATAGGGGAAAATACACACCCACTTCTCGAAGTGATTTCTGAACAACCTTTTCGAATCAATTCATGAGCCCGTTCCTAACCCGGTCGCTTACGTTTCTGATTCAGCTTCGTAACCGTTCTCAAACCAGTCCTACACCCCGAAATGTAACTAACTCACTCTGGCGCCATGTACCCGCCTGCCCCGATGAGCAGTGACGTCACTTCCTCGGCAACCGGCCCTTCCTCGACGCTCCACCGAACGGTGCCAAAGTCCGACACGACCGCCCCCATGTCCTCATCGAGCAGCACGTTGCTGGAGCAAAAGTTGCGGTGGATGATGCCATGCTGATGTAAGCACGCGAGCGCGCCCGCGGACTCGGCGGCGATGGTCAGCCGGCGACGCCACTCGATGAAGCGGGGAGACGTCGTGCCTGTGGGAAAAAGACAGGGGAGAATGAGCATTAATTACTCGGGAAGCAAAAAGAATGGAGAAAAGACTCGACTTTTACTGGGGGTTGTGAACGAGCGAAGATGAAAGGAATGGTCGACGGTTGATGGCTGGTGTCAGGAGTGAGAGAGCAAGGGCCAATCATCCAAAACAACTTGCAAGAAAGGGTGATGACGGGCGAACGGTATTACAAGCTTTCAGCAAGGCACCTCAGCGATCGCAGGACGTCGTTCCTCCATGGCATGCGGAGTTCCGAGTCTGGACATTTGCAAGGTCGCAGTAGCATGGTACCCTTGACGACCGCTCTCTAGGAAGCAGGATACTGTCTTTCCGCTCACCGTGGAGCCTTTCATGGAGGCTGTTATTGGGCATGTATGGGAAGACGAGGCAGCATTCTGGGAGAGAAAGCATCGCAATCCAACCAGCAAGAAGCTCTTAAGCGTCGTTTGCACAGGAGTCAATTAAACTAAACGGACTCAGGAATGTCGAGAAGAGGAACCCTCGGGTCGAGAAAGGTCTTCTCACCGTGCAGCCTTTCTTGAAGGCTCTTGTTGGGTACGTACGGGAAGACGAGGCAGCGTTCCCTGCCCTGGTTGCAGTATCCGACGAGGTGGATCAGGTGGGGGTGCTCCAGCCGGCTCATCAGCGCCGCCTGCTCCGGGAAACGGTCCTTGGGGGGGGCCTTGGCGAGCACGCCCAAATCCTGTTTTTCGTGGGGGGAAGAGTTCGGTTTGTCTACTAGATGGCAAGAACGATCTGAGGGGGGTGAATATTCAGGACTCGTTGGTTGGCGCCTCCCAATCCAAAACGGTTCTTAGGGGGACCTTTGACGAACACGCCCAAGTTCTGCTTGTCGGGGGGGGGTGAGATTTGTTTCGATCAAGGTGGGGGAGAACAATTTGGGGGGGGTTGGAATACGCGGATGAGTGCAGCTTGCTTCAGGAAACGGTCCTTGGGGGTGGCGCGCCCAGGTCCTGCTTTGGAGGGGGTGCCGTTAAATCTATGCTCGGGGGGGGAGGGTACAGTGCTTGGATTGCTTTGAGATTGAAAGAACCGGTGCAGCTTGCTCCGGAAGCGGTCTTTGAAGGGCACTCAGCGCGCATGCTAGTTTCATTTCAGGGGTAAGGCGGGGGGGGTAAAGATCCACAACCAGGGGCAAGGACGCACGGGGCCGAAGAGTAAAAGTGCAGCTTATCAGAAGAGAAGGGCCCATTGGGGGGACCCTGACAAGCACGCTCCGTCATGGTCGTGGGAAAGACGGAGTAGATCCGGATGAGAAGACGAGGGAAGTTTTTGAAGGAGTGATGACCAATTTTGTAAGACACGAGACCAGAATTGTTTTTCGATCCTACAACAAGGTAGAAGGCGCAAAGGCGTTGCCGACTTCAATCGTTCATATCTGGATCCTCCTCGGAATCTCGACGCGAGCAGTTCGACGGCTGAATAGGGAGCTAGAGCAGAAAAGCAAACGAGCATGACCTGATCAGAAAATTAATACGACGCAAATATGAACATTATAATCGATGTTGCTCTCACCCGCAGTTCGTGCAGCCGCTTGACCACAACACTCTTTCCCCCTATCGCCGACAGATACGTCCGCCCGAACCCTGAGCTCCCAATCAAATGCTTCACATTGAACCCTTCCGTTGCAGTCGCCAGCTCCCCAAACGTGAACACTTTGGGGGGGTCCTCAGCCCCGTACACATCGAGCGACCCGAACCCCCCCTCGGTGAACAGCGGGTTTGCCGCCCCCCCCGGAGCGTCGTACAGCGGGTTTGACACCTGGCCGGGCGGACTCTTGAAACCGTCCTTGTAGTCGCCGTTTTCGCCGAGGGGGGAGTGCAGGCGGGTGCCGTTACTGGAAGGGGGGGTCGGGTAAGGCGTGGTGGAGGCCCCCCCCGGAGTGGTGGAACGGCTGCTGACTTGGGTGCTGGGTCCTTTGGCAAGGCGCTCAAACCCGGCGGAACCAACAGGAGCTTGGCGTTCGATGCCGGCTGACAAGTCGGCAAGAGGGGACAGGTTATGTGATAAGCGGACGGAAAGTTACGTGGCTGTGGAAGGTAAAAACCGGAAGGCTCTCCGACCGCTCAAACTAGGGTAGCGTCAGTGCGGGTCAATCTTGCATACAAAGGCTCTTCGGTTACCTTTGTTAGGTATCCTTGAGTACTCGTAGTAACGGCAGAACGGAGGGACTATTGTGACCATATCAGAGATCTTTGACGTCTGTTTCTCTCCTCTTCTGACGAATTTCCAAATTCCCCTTTGCTTCGGTAAAGCGAAGCCTCAAGGTAAAAAGACTTCAGACACAGAGGGCGTACCAGATTGCATGCGCTCTGAGTCTACCAACCCAGGGGCAGAGAGCTTTGCAGGATCGTTGCTGCTCCTTCCGTGATGCTTGCGACTAGACCCACCTCTCTCCAAGTCTTCCTTCCACAGGTCCAGGTTCTTCTCCCTCTCGCCTCGTTTCCGCCGCCGCAAGAAGATGAGCCCGCAACAGCAGCACAACGCGATAAGGGCCAACACAAAGAGGGCGGGGAGGACGGCGACCAGCACAGTCGCTGTGGTGCTCCAGTTGTCGCCGGAAGAGCCTGTAGAAACACATGTTGGGCATTAGCGAGCTACAAACGTCGGGGGGAGGCGAAAAATGCAATTTGAACGACGTCGCTTGGCGTTGGTAATCCTCTCGAGGGCTACCGTGAATACTTGATTCAAATTGAAATGTTAGGTTGATGCACTCTTTAAATTGCAGGGAGATTTGGAAGGTGAACGAAAATTGAACTTGCTGCAGCGTAGGCTCTGGAAGCGTTTCGGCAGGACGAGCCTTCGACAAACTCCCGGCCCCCAAGTCCGCTTCAGTACCGGTGCTCCTTACGAGACCTTCAAAGCTCAGCGGACCCCTACAAACAGCCGCCTCTTGATGAAAAAAACCTGAATGCTCAACCCCCTGTAAACTCATTCTACTTGAGCAAAAAGCCGGAACTTCTGAAACCTGCTGGACGTGATCCCCTACAAGCCCAGGATTACAAAGCCCCTCACCAGAAGGATCGCACGTGCAGTTCAGCACCGCCGTCCCGTCCCCTGAGCACACCCCCCCGCCAGGCTGCCCCGTCGCGCAAACACACCCCTGAGTACTTCCCGGGGCGCACGTTCCGTTCTGGGGGGTTTGTGACGAGACGACGGAACTGCCAGTGCCGTTCAACGTGGCAACCGGAACGATGACGCTTGAAGTGACGTTTACGGGAGCAGGGGGGGGCATGGGATTCAGATTGCCAACGGAGAGGGGTGGATTGCCAGCGCAGAAGGGCTGGTTCTCAAGTTGCTGGCACAAGGGGTTGCCGTCCACCCTGGAAAAGGGGGGGGGGAAGATGAAGCGTTTGCTAGGGATCTCATCTTGTCCTAAGATGCTGAAACGCAAAGAGCCTATCGAAACCGAGCAGAAAAAAGCGCATTCAAAAGCAGCAGGGGCTGATTTCTCGAGTTGCTGGAACAAGGGGTGGCCTTTTCCACCCCAGGACCCGAATGTCCGCCAATCGAGGATAACGCTTATTGGGAATGCGGGCAGAGTAAAGTAGAAGCTCTACCCAAAGTTGAGCACCAGAAAGATGTGGTCCAAAGAAGCAGGCGGGAGAAAGGGCCACATTCGCTCTGACGACAGCCAGCTTTGACCCTGGGAGAACGTACCTTGCAATAAGGTTGGGCATTGCGGTCAACTGAGTGGGTATCGGTCCCGAAAGATTGTTCCCTTGCAAGTACCTGCGCCAGATCCCAAGGTTAGCGAACCACTTCAGGACCGGTTGTGCAATCTGGTGCTTTGTAAGGTGCGTCGTGAGAAGAGCCCTTCCACTAGAGACCATGCAAGCGTTGCTAACAGCAATCAAGGCGAGTCGCTCCATTACAGAGAACACTATCAGTGATCATCGGAGCCCTCATGCAAGCTCGACTCAGCGGTTCATCCATTACCAAACCGTACTGCTATCACGAGCGCAATGCATGCCTTACCAAGGCCCACCGCCTTCCGGGATCCAAATGCTTGACCTAACTGATGGGGACGAGAGAATGGGCACTCACAGGAAATTGAGATTTGTGATGTTGGCGAGCTCTGGAGGGATGCTGCCACTAAACGAGTTGTTTGGCAGTAGCCTGCACAACGTAGGGTCAAGGGTCTCAGATTCTCGTAGCTTCGGGTTTACGACTCGAGATTGAAAGTCTTCCAAGGCAAAATCTGCTTAAGCAGGTTCCGAGTGAAGCCGGAGTTCCTCGAAAGCAAATCAGTGAAGGGTCAAGCTCCCGATGGGTGAAAGCGACTTCAAGATTTTAATATAATCGAAACGAGAAGCACGCAACCAGAGGCCATAAGTTGAGGCTCTCCATTCGTCACCCGGCCGGGTGCCCAGGTTATGGTCCCCAGCATATTTGACATGACATTGTCATCTGTAAGCCCGTTGCTTCGTCTTGCTCAACAGATTAAAGTGAGGGCCCTATTAACCACTTTTCCAAAGGGAACGAGCCTTGGACCGGACTGTCGGAAGCCAGTCGGACAAGTGCCCCATCACTTTCAATAGCCAATGCCTTCCGAAGGAAAAGTGGACGCCTTTTCGAACGAAAAGCAGTACTTTTCGGCGAGAAAGCACGAAGCTTTAATCCAGATGCAGTTGGGAATGCTTACAGGGCTTGCAGCTGGGTCATCTGGCCAATCTCCGCGGGAATGGACCCTTTCAGATAGTTGGAACTAAGGTTGAGCAGCTGGAGGTTTCCCAGGTTCACGACAGTGGCGGGAAGATTCCCCGTGAAGATGCACCCCCCCAGATTGCTGTCGGAACCAGAAGAAATTTCAGCGACGGTATTGGGGAAGCGCAGGCAAGTAGCGGCTTTGAAAGTACTGAAAGCAGCAACAAAATCAACGCAGATTCTGGATTACTGTGACTACCTGTCCAACCTGTCAACTACTATTAACGGCTGCACTCGGTTTCCTTCGCATCATCCGGCGAACAACACTCCGAAACCGAAGCAGGAGCTGAACCTGGAAGAAGCAAAGGGTCTCCTACAAGTATAACCTTTCCCACGGGGTCACTTTCTTTCTCAACGATACCCATAGAAACTAGAAGAAGCTGAGTCGGACTTTTGTCAACCGGCTCGAAATGAAAGGAGGTATACCCCTCATCCAATAATTCCCACATTAGGCGTCCAAACCCACGTGAACCAAAGAATTTTAGTCCGAGCAGCTCCTTGGCGATCAGGGCCTTAAGACTTGCGTATGACATAAGAAGGGACTTCACGGGGTAGATTTCGCTGTTGGGGCACAAAAGATAGACAGAGATAAGCAGCAACTCCACTGCAAAGTCTCGCCTTGCAGGTCTATCAATCTCAGGCGCAACCTATTTCGGTCGAGCCTCAGCTCTTTGAAATCTAGAGTTGAGATCAACATCTCAAAGTTGCTATGGCAAGCGCAGCCACCAAAAGACTCTGCCAAAAGCCTCCCCAGCTGGCTTGCCAACCAGGTTTCCAGACGCCAATGCGTTTTTCCTGAGATCAAAGAAGGCTGAAACCCTCAACCAGACTAAGTCGGCAACTTACAGTTGCTCTAGCAAGCGCATACGAAAAAGGAGGTTTGCCAAGGGGGCCTCTCAAGGAATCTGCCTAGGTCAGCAAGAGCTCTTCCCTGCAACCTTGGAAGTAGACGCAGCAAACCCATTGAGAGCAATCTGCGAGAGATTTTGAGGACTCACAGTTGCTGCAGTGAGCGCAGGCGGAAGAGGGAGTCCGGCAGGGGCCCCCACACGGAGTTCTGGCTGAGGTCCATTCGAACTAGACGCGGCATGAAACCAATCCATGGGTCCAGCGTCGCCACCAAGTGATTGCTGTGCAGGTCCAGTTGCTGCGGAGCGGGGGCCAATGCACGATCATTTGTCATCCGATCCTTGTGTCTCTGTTACACTTATTCTGATTTCTAGGCTTCCTTGGGAAGGATAAGCCCAGGGGTTGACCCTCGTACTAGCTTAGCGTGCGAACAAGCGAACACTGTAGGTTGTGCGAAACCATCTGCCAACGACGTGCATCTCGGATGAAGTACTTGAAGTATTAGGGGGAAAAGGTGGCAAAGTGCGAAACGTTGGCGGAGTGAGATACTGGACTGAGCGGCCCGAAGCATGAGACAGAGTGGAATTTCCGTAGGGACAAGTCTGCCATTATCGACTGACACTGCTGTCCTGACAGCAATTACGGGCTTCCCTTATCTCCGATTCATGGGGGGCATTCTGCCCGAGTTGCCCAATCCAGAAAAGAAGCTTAGGGATTACCAAATGGTTGGCTTTTGACGAGGAGCAATTGGGCCCCTCCAGTCAGCTACATTTATAATTTTACAAGATCAGAGCAGCTTCAAGCTCGTTCCATTAACTGCACAAATTGGGTTATCATGATTTTACTGAGTGAGACAAAGAGAATCAAAGTCGGACACACTGGTGGGCTCTAAGAGGCGGCAACATTGTAGGGCGCTGATGCCACGGCAAGTTTGTGGGTTTGCAATTGAAAAGTGGGTGCTTCCAATGATTAGTCCTCACCTCGAGCTGCGTCAGGTTTCTGAACTCCCGAGGAATGCCCCCCTCAAGCTCGTTTTGGCTCAAGTCAAGGATTTGCAGATTTGGCAGTTGGCCCAAGGCGGGGGAGAGGGTACCCGTAAGCCCAAAGCCCGGGAGTTGCCTGGATGCAGTGAGCACACGTGTGAGAGTGACATGGTGAATGAGACCAGATGTGTTGGGGTTAAAATAATAGTTGCCCCAAACACTTTAGAAATGGGCAGAGGAAGATGACAGACGGCAGCACCAACGTCGTGCTTTGTCCAATTACAGTTTGGAATGGCACCACTCGTCTTGAGAAGCGACAGTCTGCGCCGTCCAATCTACATTGCAAGCACGTTTGCTATGCCCACTTTGGAAATTTCTGCCATGTAAGGGGACTCTCGTGCTCAAAGCGTGGCCTATGTGCGAGGTTTGCAAGGAAATGCTGGCGCTGTCAAAATGCTCAATGTCCTGACCATTGTTATTGCTCGCAGGCAACTGCTCGTAACCCTTGCTATAAACCCTAAAGATCAATGGGGCTTATCCAGATGGTTTCGGGGACTAGCTCAGTATGAATGCAGAGATACGAGAGCAATGCTCTTTTGGCTAGGATACAAAGCAACCGGAGGATTGGCAAACCTATCATAATTCCAGAGAGATACCTTTAAAACATTCATATCCGCCCCTGTGGCGAGCCATGCTCTTACAAACACCTTGAACAGGAGTAGATTCAGTGAGACAAAACAGAAGAAGGAATGTCAGGCATCGATACTTACAGTCCCGTGACGTATCGGGTCTGGTCCCCGTTCGCTGGCGTGCATTGCACCCCCAACCATGCAGACCCACATGGATCCGTTCCGTTCCAAGTTATCAACCCCGGGGGGGCGCCCGAAGACTGCTTGATGATTATGAGACCGTTCGCTGCGATAGAGGCATGATGTGGATGAGCAACTGGGCGCAAATGACCACAAGGTGTTCAAAGTCACCAGTTTCGAGGCCTGAAAGAGTTTGTTTTCATCGGGAAGGGGGTCCAAATCCAGTGTGGATGGTGCCAAATAACTGAATCGACCGGGTAAAAAGAGAACGAACAGGGGAGTACCGTGCGGCTGCTTGGAGACAGGACGCTTGGAACGACTTTGACAGAACTTTTGAAGGTGAGATCAAAGTTGCTTTCAAGGTTCTGAAATGTCGCCGCATTCAAGCAAAGCTAGAATTGCAAGCCTGTGCAAACATGCTCGATCCTGCCTCTGAGCCGCCATGCTCAGAAATGGATCACCTGAGATTTGACCATATATCCACGTATGGACTGACATGAATCAACGGCGAATTCACCATTCAATCTTAGGTTTCCGGAGGTATGCAAGCAATGTGTGGAAGAGAGCCCTCAGGAGAGTATTGGGCACAAACGGGGTTGAACATGGGGACCAGGAACAGTGTGACAGGAAAATCTACTACTGGTAATCAACCCAACTAGGCTGCTAAGGAGGGAGAAAGACACTATGGAAAAGCTGCGGACTGGTCTCTACAAGAGTCCCTGTTAATGCGAGGGATGCGTTGACAGCTGGGCTGAATAAATTGCCAAATGGCAACAGTCTGGACTTCTAGACACCCACTCACTGACAATTGACTGCTGAGTTCAGCTTCTAGATTATGGGTACATGCCTAGGGAAACAGCTTCACTCGAAAACCATAGATCTCTCGTCCGCTCAAATTGGCCCCAATCATGCATTTCAATAGAACCTGCTGCGCTTCATAAAATCTAGAAAATCTGGTGGGTTGCGACGAATGTCAGCTCCAAACCTGGTGTCTTACACAGTCATGGTAAAGTAAGAGCAGGATCGAGTACATACCTTCATTAGGGTCCGATTGTCCACACACTTCTACAGCCAGCAAGAGCGCCACTAACATAAGGAACGTAAACCGCGCCATTGCCCTAGGTTAAGAATCACAATCAACGAATCTGCTTGACACCGCTAGGGACAGCAATAGCTCCTGAGAGTGTGCTCCCCGGAGATACGAGCGCACTTGCCAGTGCATGCAAGCTTTAACATTGACCAACATTGTGGGCGGCCCAGCGTATGTCAATGCGAGGAGCTACCTCATACATTCTACTTTGTCCAGTGAAAGGTCGCAACTTTCCTCTCTGCCAGCATTTGCAGCCCCATGCACATGTGAAGAATTTCCTAGACAACCTTCACCGTGCCGGCCGTCTAACTGCTGTATCTTTCCACTTTACTCCAGCTGTTTTGCTTTTGCACAACAGCACTGTCAGCAGCAAAATACATAACACAACTCTTGAACCTTTTCCAACTAGCAAAGCTGACTACATACGCAGCTTCTATAGCAGATGAACGAAGAGAAAAACCGTTTAACGGTGCTGGTGAGCTTTATGAGCTTTTCCTATTGTGATGCGCCACCGAGGCGCCAAAAAGCAGCCCTTCTCCTCTCCTCACGACGTTTCGAGTTCTTGGGTCATATGGCTTGAAGATGAGAGAGACGAGAAAGAGGAAGAAAGGCAGGTACGGTACGTTCAACAGGCTGGTGCAAGCTGGCTCAACGCTCATGAGTACCTCAAT